ATCTTACTCATCTCCTAACCTCTTTATCTGTCCCTGACTAGCCCATAAATGTGTGATAGAATGTATGGAGCTTAGATTCTTCTGTCTAGTCAATGCTTCCATATTTGTAACTGAGATGGGGAGAAATGGGAATGTAGAACTGTGCCTGTCCCCTCCAAGTTTCACTTTGACTGCTGATTGCATCCTATGTCAAAATAATAGCATTCGTTTGCATTTCTGTAAGCACTGGAGAGTTGTAACTTAAATATATTGGTGGTAGAGAGCAAGTTAACTTTTTAAGTCCAAGAATATTCGTTAAGGTAACTAATGCCTCTAATAGTTGATGTGTCTGGAGAAAATAATTTCTTGCACTTCAGTCATTTGCCGTTTCTTGAATAAATGTTTTAAATACTGTGTAAGTTAGTTATCTTGAGCAGTTTTTAGTTTAGGTCAGAAAAGGCTGAATCTGCCTAATGTAAACCATGTACGTTCAGCTACTTAAAATACCTTTGCACACAAGTTATATGTCTGATGACTTTATATATATATGTATTATACTTGTATATTTTCCAATCATATGTTGCTGTTCTACTAGAGTTGAGTTCCTTAACCTGGAGTATAGAGACTCCCAGGACAGAAGGAAAATCATTGAACTTGAATGGGAAAAAAATTGTCATCTTTATTTTTACCAATCTTTAAGTGAAATTTACCATGGCTTTCAATTTTGAATAAGGATAGCAAAATTGTTCAATCATTACCTATAGTTTTTGTCACCAGTAGAATAATAGATATTTTCATATCATAATATAATTGTTGAGATATCTTAAACTATCAGTTATGCTTTCAAATTATCATTATTAGGCCTGCTGCTAAATCTTATTTAATTTGTTAATAAATTACAGCAAGTTTGGTCTTTAAAAGAACATCTTGATGATTACATGTCATTGTACATTAAAATACTTACATTTTGTTTAATACATTTAAAAATGGTTCTGAAAAGCCTGCCAAAGAGGCCCATGCACATGTGCGCACACACCCATACCTATACACACCCAGACCACTGCAACACAAGGGTCTAGTAAAAACTCTGTACTAGACTGTCCCAGATAATTCTTTGTAATAATTTTTCATGGGTGTTTCAAGGAAAATTACATATATGTTACATTACTAGTTGTTCTTAAACTGTGTTCAGCTGAAGTTGACCAGTTAAAATTGTCTGTATATTCCATTTATATATATTTATGTTAAAAAGTTGGTAGAAACTGGTAATACAGTGGCCAGAGATTTTTGTTGTTTCTCAGATGCCTAAGATAAAGAGAATGGATATGATTAATTTTAATTTATGAAAATAGTTCTTGTGAAAAGTAATTTTGAAAGAATTAAAAATGAATGCCTTCTAAGTCTTAGACTGAGTATGCATTATTATATTTCAAGGATACTCAAACTTATAAGTCCTTAAGAAAATAACTAGTTTCTAATAAATGAAAGGTGAAATAAAAATGTATTCACAATTCAAAATCTTATTTAAACAGATTATCATTTTGAAAACAAGCTATCAACTTTCCATTTCAGAATAAACTTTTACCTTGTAACATCTTCAGCTTATGTTAAATCAGTTTTCCTTCTCTCTGAATTTGGTGTACTTTATGAAAGGAAAAGGAATTTTAGGAATTTAAATAAGCACAGGAAGTTAAGTTTAAAACTTAAGTGTTTTAAAATGATCAGAGGGGTAGCCTCCACATAGATAATTAACATTGTATTTAAAAGCTGTATGTTACTAAACAGAGCTAATATACATCTCTAACCTTGTTCCTTTTTCCACCTTAACATTTATTTTGAGTTCTTACTAGGACATGTGAGTGAAAATACAATACATTATTAACTTGCGATTTTCTAAAAATATAGTTCACTAATAAAAAAAGCTCTGCACATGAATAGGATGTTCAAACTTGTTTATTCCTATGGTTCATAATTATTTTTTTAAAACCTTAGAAATAGACTAGGATCATTTTTGTTAAAGTATGTATATCATGCTGGCTAATTGATGTAGAAATCTTACAACTCTAAATCTGACATCTATAAACCCTTTAGATATGCAAAATAATCCTTGTAATAATAATGCTAGGCCACCATGGTAGCTTATAACTATAACCTCAGCACTTTGGAAGGCTGAAGAAGGAGGATTGCTTGAGCCCAGGAGTTTCAGACCAGCTTAGGCAACACTGAGACCCTGTCTCTACTAAAAATAAAATTTTTTAAAATTAGGCTGATGGCAAATGCCTGTAGTCCCAGCTACTTGGGAGGCTGAGGTTGGAGGATTGCTTGAGCCCAGGAGTTGGAAGCTACAGTGAGCTGTGATTATGTAACTGCACTGCAGCCTGTGTGACAGAGCGAGACCTTGTTTCTAAATAAATAAATAAACAAACAAACAAAACAAGTTATTACAAAATAAAACCATTAAAGGATTGTACACTTGGAATTCTGACACACACAACCTTTCCTGCATCTCATCAAAGTGGATCAGAAATCCTCTTGGACCAAGAATATGGCAGAGACTGAAGGGAAATGCCAACTTAGAATGACTGGCATAGAAGGAATTCTTGAAACTGAGGGAAGGCAATTTGTGCTTTGACAGGTCCATTTTCTAAGCAGATAGGGAATTTCATAAAACAGCTTCATCCTATGCTTTGCAAAAAACAGAGGATTGTGGGGAGGGGTCTAGTGGAGAGGGCATGAGTTAGAGAGACCTTAAGGGGCTGCTGCTTCAAATCCAACATGTCAAAGCACCATGCTTGGGGGGGATTAGTTTCTGACCCTCAGAAGTACCACATTTGCCAATTCACTTTACTAAACATACTGAAACTCTAGTATATTGAATACAAACGAGTGAGCACCCTACTACTGTTGATGGTTAGTGCTGTGAGACTAACGTTCATTCTCCCTCAAGAACTGGCCCGTACTATTCCTGATACTTGGCCATGAAAGTTTTGAACTGTGGGTGTATGAGTTCATTCTCACGCTGCTAATAAAAGCATAACCCGAGACAGTGTGATTTATAAAGGAAAGAGTTCAGCATGGCTGGGGAGGCCTCAGGAAACTTAAAATTGTGGCAAAAGGGGAAGAAAAATGTCCTTTACATGGCAGCAGCAAGGAGAAGTACCGAGCAAACAGGGAAAAGCCCCTCATAAAACCATCAGATCTCATGAGAACTCATTATCACAAGAACAGCTGCATGGGACTAACCACCTTCATGATTCACTTACCTCCTACTGGGTCCCTCCTACTAAACATTGGTATTATGGGGTCTACAATCCAAGGTGAGACTTGGGTGAGGACACAGCCAAACCATATCAGTGGGTATAGTCACAATTAGAATTCTTTTTTTTTTTTTTTTTTTTGAGGGAGAGTCTCATTCTGTCACCCAGGCTGGAGTGCAATGGCGCTATCTTGGCTCCCTGCAACCTCCACCTCCTGGGTTCAAGTGATTCTCTTGCCTCAGCCTCCCAAGTAGCTGGGATTACAGGCGTGTGCTCCCATTACTGGCTAATTTTTATATTTTTAGTTGAGATGTGGTTTTACCTTGTTGGCCAGGCTGGTCTTGAGCTCCTAACCTCAAGTGATCCGCCTGTCTCGGCCCCCCAGAATTCTGAGATTGCAGACGTAAGCCACTGTGCCTGGCCACAAGACAAATTCTTAATGTTGCTGGGAAAAATGAATATTGGCATGATGACTTCTGAGAGTAGTAAAGCAATCAGTATCTGTAAAGCTGGAAGTTTGCATCCTTTTATCCACCAGTTTCACTTCTTTGTGTGTATCCCGCAGGAGGAGGAGGAGGGGGTTTCTGTGTACAAGACGTGCAAGGATTTGTTTCAGTACTGCTCATGACAAATGTAAAAACTATCGTACAATAGGAGACTATATAAACTGGTTTTATTTGTATAATGGAGCACTGTATAGCAGTAAAGATGATCAGACTTGGGCTCTGATAATCAATACATAGCTCATATGAAAATGCAGGTTTCAAGATAAACACCATGTAATTCCATCTATTTAAATGTTAAATGCAGACAGTAATGTATATTGTTTGAGAGCATGAATATATATTTAAGAGTAAAAAACATAGTTGGTAATCATACACATCAATATTAGGATAATGGGTACCCTGAGGTGTGGTTTGAGCTATATCTATACTGTATTTTTTTTTTTTTTGAGACAGAGTGCAGTGGCTCGATCCCGACTCACTGCAACCTCCACCTCCTGGGTTCAAGCAATTCTGCTGTCTCAGCCTCCTGAGTAGCTGGGACTACAGGCAGGTGTGGTAGCACCTGCTAATCTTTTGTATTTTTAGTAAAGATGGGTTTAACCATGTTAGCCAGGTCTCAATCTCCTTGTCATCCACCCACCTTGTGCTGGGATTGCAGGTGTGAACCACTGCACTTGGCCCAATACTGTATTAATTTTTGAGAGAGAAAGAAGATAAGAACGTTTAATCTGGGGCAAACGGGAAAACATTCTGACTAGTGGTACATGGATCATATTGTTGGCTATATAAAAGTCTCTTTCATTCTTCTAAATGTTTTTTTAAAATACTATATGTTGAAAAGAGTGTTTGCTTGCTACTTTATGTAGCTCAAGTGATCCTCCCACCTCAGCCTCCTAAGTAGCTGGGACTGCATACGTGTATCGCCATGCTAATTTTTAATGTTTTTGTAGGGACAGGTTTTTGTAACTGCCCAAGCTAGTCTTGAGCTACTAGGCTAAAGCAGTCCTCCCACCTTGGCCTCCCAAAGTGCTGAGATTACAGACACGAGTCACAACGTCCTTCCCAGAGTTTGACTCAGACTGACTGAAATGATAGCAAGTTTTTACAAATTATTGGATTTTTCTAATATTTTGTTCTTATTTCTAATTTGTTCTTTCCATTTTTAAACTGCAATATAATTACCACGAATAGTCTACTAGTTTAATTGATTGTCAATAAATGAGGGGTTTTATATAAAGTTAATGTCTTTGTTTTATAGGAAAAACATCAGAGAGAGGCTCATTTTCCCTGTACAGCAGAGATACCGGATTACCAGGCTGTCAAGTAAGTTTAATGATTTTTAAAAAGCAATGAGATGGTTTTTAAACACATAAATAAAAATTATTTTAATAGAGGAGATAGAAATTATCCAGTTTATTCTACCAGGAAATTTGTTTCCAAAGAAATAAATACCAATTAAGTTATTTAATTTGTAACTAAATGTTGTTTTCTAGCTGTTAAACTTTTTTTTTTGCTGTCTTTGCTTAAAATTGTTTCCGTTCCCCCATTTACCAGGCTATCTTTATCATCAAAGGTTTTCATAACCCGCCTCCATTTTAACTGGGAACAAAGTAGCGGTTTTCGTTTCTGAGAATTTTTTTGCATATTTTCTCACAGAAAACATAATTGCTGGTATCTAAAGACTATACGGTTGATCACATAGCTTGCATATCCTATAATGTCAGACTCATCATTAATATTGGAAGTATTTTGTTTTTAATCCTGCATCTAACCAATTTTTAGGCTTTACATCCTCCCTGACTTGGAATCTTTGTTTCTGCTCTTTCTTTCACCTTCTCTAGCATTTTGTGCTTCTGCTAATGGGCATCTTCTCTGCCTTTTTCCTCATATCTTTAGACTGAGACCCTGAATACACACAGCTCACCTGCAGATTCCCATCAGAATCAAAGCCAAAAAGAATAGAAAGGAAAGGCAGAACATAATAAATTTGTTTTCTGCTGTCTGCGTGCTTTACATGAGGGCCCACCCTAATTTCAGGCATGGGCATGTGAGCCAGTTTTAACTGTCTTAGTAATAATATTAATCCATTTAATACATCTTTTAACATTCTGTTTTGTGATATGCCTTCTCATTATAAAATAACATATTGTAGGCTGGCCATGGTGGTTTACGGGAGACTGAGATAGGAGGATTGCTTGAGCTCAGGAGTTTGAGAGCAACCTGGGAAACATAGCGAGACCTTGTTTCTACTTAAAATACAAAATCAGGCCGGACGCGGTGGCTCGGGCCTGTAATCCCAGCACTTTGGGAGGCCGAGGCAGGTGGATCACGAGGTCAAGAGATGGAGACCATCCTGGTCAACATGGTGAAACCCCGTCTCTACTAAAAATATTAAAAAAATTAGCTGGGCAAGGTGGCGCGTGCCTGTAATCCCAGCTACTCAGGAGGCTGAGGCAGGAGAATTGCCTGAACCCAGGAGGCGGAGGTTGCGGTGAGCCGAGATCACGCCGTTGCACTCCAGCCTGGGTAACAAGAGCAAAACTCTGTCTCAAAAAAAAAATAATAATAATAATAATAAGCCAGGTGTAGTGGTGCATGCCTGCAGTCCCAGTTGCTTGGGAGGCTGAGGCAAGAGGATCACTTGAGCCCAGGAGTTTCAGGCTGCAGTGACCCGTGATTGCACCACTGCACTACACAGCCAGGTGGACGGTGAACCTCTGTCTCAAGAAGAGAATGGAGCCGGGGCCAGGGGAGAAATAAAGTAAATATATTGTAAAAATTAAGGATCATCTATTCCCATGTCCTTAATAGCAAGTAGGCATGGTCCGCATAAGTGATTTGTTAAATATGGAGTGAGAGGTAGTAGCTGGACCAATACTAAGATTTCTTGGCTTCAGACCAAGCAGTATTAACCTATTTTTATCCAAGTAATTTTTTAAAGTTTTAATGGTGCTAATAATGATTGCTTTTGTTTCCATTTATTAGCTTTATTTTATTCTAGTCATTTAAAATACATATTAGCATCGTGTCATAGCCAGTGTTTTGCTTTACTAGCTCTTACTAGCTCGCAAGAGCCAAATCTGTTTAATTTTTAGGAATTTAGCAAGCACAGTTGATATTACACTGGAATCTTAAAATTGGCTGTCATGAGCTGGGCACTGTGGTGCATACCTATGGTCCCAGCTACTTGGAAAGCCAAGGCAGAAGGATCACTTAAGCCCAGGAAAACAAGTCCAGCCTGGGCAATGTAGCAAGACTGCATCTCTTAAAAAAAAAAAAAAAAAAAATAGAAACAAACAAAATGGCCATCAAAGAAGTATTTATACTGTGAAAATCCAAAAATGTTATGGGGGGGGGCTTTAATTTTTTAAACAGTTGTTAAACATGACCAGCATACTGCTCATGCCTAGTTAAAAATTGCAGAGAACCAAAGAATGTAAGTGGTTATTCAGATCACAGTAAAAAATAGAAAAGCAGCAATTGACCTTCTATCCTCTATTAAGGTACTTTTCTTACCCTTTTCAAAGGTAACAGTGCTTTAAGGCCAACGCAACACTAACTAATATACCATTTATTCTGTATAGTTTTAGCAATATCCATTGATGAAACTGAAATATCCTCTTTTTGGTCCATATGAAATGTGAATGGGTGATTGTAATATGGGTGATTGTAATTATCAATTCATAGTTGGTATCAGAACTCTTTCTTTTTTATAATACAAGTTACTGTTTGAATTTCATAGTCTGAATTTTAGTTCTTTAATGACTTGGACTGGACACTCTGCTTCTAATTTTTTTATCTCGGCTATATTTAGCAGGTCACCTAACCATCACTCTTCTGAATCTCTTCAGAGTAAAACAAAATTTTGAAAACTAAGTTACGGATGGTCGCAGTGGCTCACGCCTATAATCCCAGCACTTTGGGAGGCTGAGGTGGGCAGATTGCCAGAGGTCAGGAGTTCGAGACCACCCTGGCCAGCGTGGTGAAACCCCGTCTCTACTAAAAATACAAAAATTAGCCAAGCCTGGTGGCATTTGCCTGTAATCCCAGCTACACAGGAAGCTGAGGCAGGAGAATTGCTGGAACCTAGGAGGAGGAGGTTGTAATGAACTGAGATTGCACCATTACACTCCAGCCTGGCCTGGGCAACAGAGTCAGACTCCCTCTCAAAAAAAAAGAACCAAAACAAGACACTAAGTTACATCATTTGGACAATGAATGATGGCTAAAAGTGACTACAAAGAATCCTGTAGGTTTAAGCTTATAAGCACTGCAGACTGCCTCTGTGACAAAGCATTAAGTAGATTTGTCTGCCAACCTGCTTCAGGGCCTTAAACGTCCTTTCATCTTCCTGGTAAACCTAAGACAGCAGCTTCGTTAGGCAGTACTGCATCGCCTCATAACACCACAACAGATTTGTTTACTTCTCAGCTATGTGAAAGTGCTAGTCTCAGTTCCCGATCATACAGTAGTAGAAGGTCAGTAAATGTCAGCTGAGGGGGGTAAAACAGAAGATACATAAGGTTTAGAGTCAAGAGGCCTAGGTTCAAGTCTCAGCTCTGCACTGACTTCTTATCTGAAAGATAGGATTAGCAGTTTCTGCCTCCACCTACTTAGTAGATCTCTAGGGTTAAACTGTATGGGCTTTTGAAAACATTTCAATAAATAAATACATAATTTTAAATGTCTCAATTCATGTAACTCACATAATAAAAGGTATTTGGAATCTTTAATATTATTTTTAAGAGACCTAAATGTTTCAGAGCCACTGGTCTAATGTTAACATTACTGCTAAACTTGAGGGGGGAAAACACTTTTGTAAGCTGTAGTCTCACTACAGCTACATCTAATAAATCATAGCTTATACTTATATTAATGTTTTTATTATGTTCAAATGTTTTCACTTATATTTTTTATACCCTCTTGGCAAAGGTATTGCTGTTTAGTTAGAATCAGCAATAAGTTCTCATAATGTAATTGTTCAGTTTTGCAAAGGTGAATCTTAATGGTTTTTTACCAAGGATTAATATACATTTGTACCAGATTCTTTTATCAAAAGACATTTATTTTAAACCTAAATGTGTAGCACTCTAATAACATTTGCTACCATTGGCTGAGGACTAACTGAGCCAATCATCGAACTAAAGATAATCACATTTAATTGTTTTAACAACTCATTTTGCAGATTAGTAAACGGAGGTTCTCCTAAGGTATTATGCTTAAGGCTAGATATCTAGCAAGTGGTAAACCTAAACTCATGAGTTTTGTGACTATATGACTCTACTGCTGCATAGGAATTCCCTCAGATTTCAACTCTATGCTCTTATTACCTTTCTTCATTTTAATTTGTTTAATTTTTTGAGAAGGAGACAGGGAATTAAATTTTTTTTTTCTTTTTTTGAGACAAGGTTTCACTCTGTCACCCAGGCTGGAGTGCAGTGGCACTCCCATGACCTCCTCGGCTTAAGGGATATAAGGTTTACAGTCAAGAGACCTAGGTTCATGTCCCATCTCTGCATTGATTTCTTCATCTGAAAGATAGGATAGCAGTTTCTGCTTGTACATAGTAGGTCTCTGAAGGTTAAAGTGTATGGGCTGGTGAAAACATTTCCAAAAATAAATACATAATATTAAATTTCTCAATTCATATGGCCCACATTACAAAAAGTATTTTGGGTCTTCATATACCTCCCTGAGTAGCTGGGATTACAGGTGCACACCTACCATGCTCCACTAATTTTTTATATTTTTTTTAGAGATTGGGTCTCACTATGTTGCCTAGGCTGGTCTCAAACTCCTAGGCCTAAGCAGTTATCCTGCCTCATCCTGACAAAGTGCTATAATTACAGACAAGAGCTACCACTACCAGAGGGAATTTAAATTTTTAGCAAATGCTCAGGCGATTCTGATTCACATGGACTGGAGTTCATGCTTTAACAACTCCTCTGTGTATGCCAAATATAAGCCTATAGGAGTTATCCTTAGAGGAAAGTATATGGTTACTGTTTGATAAACAGTTTATAAACATTTTGGAGAGATCAGGAAGGCCTATGGAAGAGAGAAGAACAAGATTACTAGAATGTTTGATGCAAAATAACAATATTGCTATATACAAGATTTAAAGATATTCAAGTGAGAGAAAGATGTGTTTTTGTTTTTAAGAATTTATTAAGAAATCATAGAGCCCCAGAAAGGAAGCCCAAAATTCAGCAGAGTGGAAAGATTAATCTGCAGCAAGGATAAACTATTCAAAGAAAAACATGTATTCCAACCAGGATTTATTATAATAAGTCAGAGAAGGGGAAGAAATTCACTTTAACTAA